TCCATAATCAGACCAAATTATTTTATTATATTATAATGGTAGACCAAACCCCATAGGACTGCAATATTGAAGACATTTTGATCAAACCACGACGCGCGAGGGGGAACTCACATTAACTGTGGTGAATTCAGAGCGCGCTCATCACAGACTCTTTCAGCACAGTCCGTGGATTTACACGGGAAGAGTGAATGAACCTGGAGCACTGAGACTCATTTGATTAGCAGATTACGGTGAGTAAAACTGGAATAATTGTTTGGAAATAATAGATCTACAAAGTGAAGCAATATTGATTTGATGCGTGGATACGATTTGTTCAATAATTTGTGAGTTCAAATTATGGAAGTACTTTTCAATAAAATTCTGAACTCAAGACCTGTTTATATAGGATATTTATGAAGATTTAGGTTACTAATTACTAAACTTTTTGGAAAGCTTTGGAGTCACATAACATTTTATTATTTTAGCAGAGCAATTTATTATTAACAACTTTGTTATTAACTATAAATTCATCTAGATTATCTATCTATCCAATAGCCTACTTATATTTTTATATTTTAACTTTTCACAATAGATTGATCATAAATGGGTAGAAATCTAGAATAGTATAATGGTAGGAACAATTAAAAAAATGTTCACATACATCTGAAACTAATTGTGGAAGTAAAAACTGAACAAAAAGTTACATATTCTGTTTAGTGTTGATTTTAGAGTCTGGCTGAGAACAAAACGAAGGCATTTTAATTTCACATTTGGGTTTCTATACTGTAAATAACGACAGTCTACAGTTCTTGTCAGTTTTGTTTAACACAAATAGCATCACTAATATTTAGTTTGTTTGCAGTGTGAATTGACGATCATGCTTTATAATGGTTCAGCTAATGCTGGATGCTTGGTGTCGAGTGATGTGTGTAACGGGAGCTCTACCAAAAAGGACGTTTCTGTGACCCCGACTGCCATCTCGATGACGGTGGGCATCGTTTCCAACACTTTGGCCCTCTTCATCTTGATCAAAGCTTACCGCAGGTTCAGACTGAAGCCTAAAGCAACCTTCCTCATGTTTGCTAGTGGTCTGGTGGTGACTGACTTCTTGGGACACCTGATCAACGGCTCTCTGGCTCTCTACGTATACGCCTCACAGAAAGCCTGGGAAACATTTGACCCTCACAAGTCTCTGTGTGACTTTTTTGGCGTTTCTATGGCTTTCTTTGGCTTAACTCCTCTGCTGCTCGGAGGCTTGATGGCGGTGGAGCGATGCATCGGAGTGACCCGTCCTCTCTTCCACGTCACAGTGCGGGGGTCCCATCATGTCGGGAGGCTGTTGGGTTTAACATGGCTGCTGGGTCTGCTGGTGGCCCTGCTGCCCCTCCTGCTTCAGAGGTCCTACCAGGTGCAGCGTTCACGAAGCTGGTGCTTCTTCCGCCTGCAGGGGCCGCGCGATTGGGTGGATGTGCTTCTGACGATACTGTTCTCTGTGCTGGGTTTGCTGGCTCTCCTCGTCTCATTGGTGTGCAATAGCGTGACTTTTCTCACTCTCCTGCGGAGTAGGGTACAACTTGACCGAGATCATCATCGCCATAGCCGTAACACATCACACCATTCTGAGATGGTCTGCCAGCTTTTGGCAATCATGCTGGTTTCCTGTGTGTGCTGGGGGCCAATTTTGGTAAGAAAATATGTCCTTTTTTTCACACCTCTTATTTCTCTCTCAAAAAGCAAAAAAGAAAAGATAAGATTCTGTAATTATTTTTATTTTTATTATTTATCAATAAACGTGAGAGTAAAAATATCCCCCCCCCCCCCCCCCACTGAGTAAATAATGACAGCTTAGTTAAATATATAGATGTAAATATAAATTTATTTAAATGGTAAAATTAATAAGTTAAAAAAATTATAAATTTAAGTACATTTAAATTTATTCACCATAAATTCAATTCAAGAAATGTAAAAAAAAAAAACTAAAAACATCTATCTATCTATCTATATATCTACACAAATATATATGTATATATATACACACACATATGTAGTATTTGTGTGTATATATATAAATAAAATAAATATAAATGTATTAAGTAATATATGACTTTCAATAAATATACATCTATGTGTGTGTATTATAATATTTTTTTTACAGTTTTTTAATTGATTTTTAAAATTCAATTCTAAATTAATAATATATACATTTATAAACAGTACATCTATATTTATTAAAACTAAATGTGTTAAATATAAATGTTATTTTTTCAGTATTTTTATTTTAAAAATATCAACACATTTTAATTTAATAAATATTACTTTACATTACGTTTAGTCATTTACCAGATGCTTTTATCCAAAGAAACTTACAAATGAGGACAACAGAAGCAATCAAAACCAACAAAAGAGCAGTAATATGTAAGCGCCGTCACAAGTCTTGCAGTACACATAGCAAGTTTTTTTTTTAAATAAATTAAAAGAATACAAGTCGAAAGAATAGAGACCGCTAGTGTTAGAGAGTCGTGTTTTATAATAAATAAAAACAAAACATGTAGCTAGATAGAACAGAAAAAGAAAAGTGTTAGAGGGTCTTTTTTTTTTTTACAAGTAGTTAGAATAGAAATAGAATAGAGAGTGCTAGTGTTAGAGGCTCAAGTGTAGATGGAAGAGATGTGTTTTAGTCGTTCTTTGAAGATGGTTGAGGACTCAGCTGCTCGGATTGAGTTGGGCAGGTCATCCCACCAGGAGGGAACAGTTAAGTTAAAAGTCTGTGAAAGTGATTTTTTGCCTCTTTGGGGTGGCACTATAATGCGCCGTTCACTTACAGAATGCAAGCTTCTGGAGGGCGCATAATTCAAATACAATGTATAGATACAATTTGTTAATTGAGCATATTGAAAAATAATTTCTTTCTGTTTGGAGCCACACATGCAGATGTATAATTTTTGTGTGAAATGTTTAATGCATTATATGGTTTGTTCCTCAGATAACAGGCATCATCTTCAGCCTGGAGGATCCCGGTGAGGATCAGACATCATACACTCATATGCTCCTGGTTGTGCGCATGGCGACCTGGAACCAGATCCTCGATCCGTGGGTGTACATCCTCCTGCGCAAAGCTGTTCTGAGGAGACTTTTTCAGGTGCCATTGAGACTTTGCAGTCCTCACTCCAATTTTCGTTTCCAGTGGCAGGGCAGCATGGAGGCTAGCAGCTCAGTGATCAGCAGACCAGACTTCATCTGCCTGCGTGGACCTTTCCTGCCAGACACTGCCATCCAGTCAGATGACCTCCGTTGATGGGGGATATGAGGATATTTGATCATTACAGTGGAAAAGAGTTTCAGAGATCCATGCCATGTCTCTTGTAGAGGAAATTTGCATTAATATGAAGTCTGCATACGTACAATGTGTCAGAAAAAATCGAATACAAATTTACTGCATACTGATGTTTAATCAATTTGTTCAAATAAGCAGTGTATAGGTGCTTTTGAAGGTTTGTTTTTATAGTCTATTGCTTCAAGAAAGCATGTTTTGAGACTTTATGTAAAAAATAGGCAAGTTTAAAATATGACCATGGTTAAATGTTTCAAACATGATATGTGTTGTCTCATTAAGTACACACACACACACACACATTTCAGATCATGATGTTTGTATTTTATGGTATCTATAGATTTGAGCATTTTTTATGAACTTGAATTTGATTTGAAATGTAAACATTATAATTTGCTGCTGTAAAGAGCTGTTTAAAACCATAATTAGTCTGTGTCAAAGCACTACAAAATATAAACATGTCAGAATACATATACAAATACCACTTTTGTTACATATATATGTATATGTTTGCTTGTCGTGTGGCCATATATATATATATATATATATATATATATATATATATATTCTGGATTTTTTTCCCTCATTTTGTCTCTCATAGTTGAGGTATACCTATGATGAAAATTACAGGCCTCTCTCATCTTTTTAAGTGGGAGAACTTGCACAATTGGTGGCTGACTAAATACTTTTTTGCCCCACTGTATATATATATAAGGGGGAGCAGGGTGAGTTGAGCCAGTTTTTACCTACGGTGTGTTTAAAGTGAGCACATGACAGTAATGAGTCCAACTTAAATATGTACATACATTTCAGGATGTGGTGCATCTTTGGGATTAATCACTTTGAGTCTAAAATAAACTGCTTGCAAAATATGGCTTTAAAAATAATAATAAAACAGTCTCTTGGCTCAACTTGCCACATGATTCCACTGATTATTCTGAAGTAAAACAGGAATAGAAATTCAATAAAATGATTGAAATCTATGTGTGTGCCTTGTGATGGATTGGAGCCTTATTTGTGCAGGGAAATACAATTTCATAAAAACTTCAATGGCCAATTTTCATAAACAAGATCTATTTCAAATTTTGAGGAGGGGGGGAATTCAATTCAAAACAAAATAAAAAATGTTTGGTCTAAAATTAATGAAATGTAACACAGAAATACAATAATACTTTATAACCATAAGAATGGGTGATCCACTGGATCAAATTACCCCACACCTACCATTTTCACAAACTTGTATTATCCAGCACAGTTTAGAGCTAACATCGTGCTAACAGTATAGCCTCATATTATAACTTTATAAAACACATATGTAACGTTTTTTTCATATTTGTCTGTAATTGTTCAGACACAAGAACATTTTAAAAAATAACTTTAAACAGCAAAAACAATTTTTTTAACCTAAATATATGGGCCTCTCTTCATCATAGGGTGAGTCAAATGCATGACTCTTTCATAATATATTTGTGGTCATATCACCAATTTTGTTTAAGGTTGCCTAGAAGCAAGGGGAGGCTCGACTTCCCCGCAGGCTCAACTCACCCCTAGCCTATATAAAATATGCATTCATACGGTCATAACCATGCAATCAACAGGTTCAGGTCTTTAGCTTTACGTTTGTATTATTAAGACCGAGCCGCTAGAGGGCAGCATCACTGTTGTTCGCCCTTAAAACAACAAAAACAACGTCTGACCACTTCCGCCCTGTTCATTCAAGTGCGCATGATTCTCTGAGCAGCTGTGTTTGTCAGGTCAGTAATGAACACCGTTATGTGTTTATTTTAAATACACTACATCCCCGATGATTACGTTGTTGATTACGCGGCTGAGCGCGGTGTTTGTTGTGATGTGTGTGTTATGCTGGAGCGATGCACTCTCTCAGATTCTGCACCGTCAGGATTTGTCTTTATTCTCTATCACTGCGATATGTGCGAGGGACAGAGACGGCAGTAAAGACAGTATAGCCTGGAAATGTCCTCAAACCGACGACTAAGCAGTTTTTACGTGATACTTTCACCATAAACCGTGTTTTCCGTGTCGTCTGAGGGTTTGTCGCCTGCTGACAGACGGTCTTTCTCTCTGTACAGACTGACTGTCACTCCACAGAAGAGCACAGTTTCACTGCACAGTGTGTGCTGGTGTAGTTAGTTACAGTTTAGATGGTTGTGTGCCATTCTGTATTCAAGTAATAACCATATTGTTTTTGAAAATATCTTTTAGACATATCATGGAAAAACCTTCCAGGTCATTTATACCAAAATATAATTGCAGGCTTAGTAATGTGTGTGTGTGTGTGTGTGTATATATTATATATAT